GCAGTGTGTTTGTATTGAGTTCAGCCTCGTATTGACCTTTGAGCTCAGCAGAAGCCCTGATGTAATGGCCCTGGCAGTATTTCGGTCATAAATCCTATAAATATGAATTATGACCACTAAATCCATATGTCTGGACTGTAGTTTGCATGTGTGTTCTGTACCTTTAAGAGTCCTTTTTCTGATTGAGTGGGCTGTTTGGGGTTGGCTTGGACATGGCATCTGCCGATCGGACCCCACTGCCAACTTAGCCACCTCAGAAACTGCAGCAGTCATCACTCTGGCAGCATCAAGCAGCAGCAGGCCCGTCTTCCACCGCCAAATTCATAGTGTTTTCTTGTGCGTGTGTTCTGACACACATTTATATATAGAATTGGAAAATAGCTCTGCTTATTGTTCAGGTAGCACTTCTTTGGGATAGATTTTTTGTTTGTTATTTTGAACTTGGTTCACCCTGGGGTTTTGGTTCAGTTTTGGTTCAGTTTTGGTACGTTCGCAGAAGCAATAAACTGCACCTTTATCTGTGAATTGGCTACTAGGTGTGTGGCTTTGGGAACCAGGGCAGGGAAACACTTTTTTAAATGGGATCTATGACACTGGTTTCACTGAATTCATCTGCGGCGAGAACACAAAACCTCAATAGCCTAAAGGTACTGTCCTAATCTACCAGTTAAGGCCACCAGCAAAAAACTTAACTAGAGAAAAATCTGTGGTTATAGTCTCTGACTATCACCTGCTAAACTATTTCTTTTGAAGATTGGCCTGTTGTTTCGTCTCTAGTGTAGTTGTTGTCACTTTCATCTTCACCAAAGCAGGTGAAATGAATTCACAACTTACTTGGAGAGACTGATACCCTTGATGTGACTTTGTGTTGCACTGTGATACACATACTGATGATAAGTGTATAAACAGTACTTTGTTTCAAATCATCATTTAAAAACTGCGTTTTATATCTATTCAAATTATCTGTGTCAAATATTAAAATTGTGTTGATGATGCGAAACACTTAAGCGTGAAAATATATTAAAAAAAATTAAAAAGACATTACAAAGGAGGCACAGAATGATTCCCAGCATTGTATATGGCCTGTTTATCACAACTAATCATAAATGAAGTGTCAGCTTTCTGTGCAGCAATTTCAGTGGTTTCAAACAGGAAACACGTCAGAGATCAGGGTAGAGCTGCAGTTACTGTGTGTTTTCTGATTTACAATGATACCATTAAACCACGAAGACATATTGACTGAAGTAGCGTTTCGTGCTGACAGAAAACTGCAGAGGGATACATCAAATACAGGTGAGTCCAGCTGGTTTCTCAGACTCACATTTATTTGTACTTCTGCTGATTAAAAAAACAAAAAAAACTGGAAAATGATTATCTTTAACATGTGGAGCAAAAACAGTCAATGATCAGCACCCACAACTAACATCCGTGTTCAAGAGACCAATCTGATCTCATGATTCTAAATTTGACTAAGGCCTGGGCCAAAACTACCAATAGTTAACCATGATCCAGATCTGGACTCAGACCTATCTTTAGAATAAGTCTGAGGCCATTTCTAGTTAACTCTGCACAGGTTTTCTCATATTTACGGTAGGATTATTTTTAATCTATGCAGCCTAATTTGTTTGTCTTCATGGAAGTCAATGCACGTACACAGGAAACTCACAAATTAGTCGTGTGCATTGTAACTGATACCACATGATGCTACTCAGCAATTAAATAACCTATTCAGAGCATGGGTGAAAACACAACTCTGCAAGGAGATGAGATGTAGAAATTCAGGTCAAAGTTCAAGTAGTAAGTCTGGCAAATCATGAGAGATAACGGTTAAAGATGAGATTGTTTCAATGTTAAATAGAGGGAAGAAGGATGCCATGCAGTAATTATCACTGTCATCTCGCTGCAAGATGGTCCTGGGTT